GGTGATGGACAGGGAGGCCTGGCATACTGCGATTCATGGGGTTGCAAAGAGTCAGACACAACTGAGCGACTGAACTGAACTGAAGGGTATTCCATGACACAGTTTTATTTCTGCATTCATCTTCTGTATTGCTTCATAATGTGCAAGTATAAGCAATAAGCTTTGATAAAAGATCAACCTGATTTAAGGGCCTCAGTACAAGGATTCAATACCTGTTTCTATTCAAAATCATGGTTGAGATGAAACTGATGCCCATTAGCAGGTCTGCCACTGCTATAAGGTCTACCTTTTTGGAAAGTGAGATATACAAACTCTTAACATGGACAGCATTACAGAAAACTAGTCTATTTTCCAGAGGCTAATTATAAACAGGTGGTGGTGGAGCCAAAGCTCCAGGAATCACAAACCCATTCTGTTTGAGCTCATTAATGCTTCTATTCAACTCTAGGAAAATGTACACATTCCGCAGAGTTATGGGGAGTTTCAGGTTGGCTGATAAAAAACAGGTGGTTTCCTCCCCCAAACTGACTGGAAGATAAAAATAAAACAACCTAACTTGCTTCCTGGGTTAAAGGGCCTGTCAGTGTAGTTTTAGGTAGACCTCTTTGGAGCAACTATGGAAATACCATCATTTCATTACATAAAGAAAGAAAAGGGTGATGATACCCAGGCCTGTTCAGGCTGAACCCAAGCACTGAGGCTCCTTCCTTCTTCTTAATGGAAAGTGCAATGGAATTTTTAGCTTTGGTCTGGGTGTCTGGCTGCTTCAGTGGAGGGCTCTTCAATTTCACATTTCATCTCAGCAACTAATGTCCACGTCTTGTCAAATCGCCACCAAGACTGTCCCGCAGGGCTTCGCCTGGACAAAGCCACGGTTTCTGTGCAAACTTGTGATTTGAGGGTTCGGTGACTCAGAGACGGCCAAATGAGCTGTCTTCACATTCATATTAGAAGGGGCTGCTGCTCCCCTTAAAGAAGATCTTTTTCTCTTCCTCAAAGGTGCCAGTGCTAAAACTTTTCCCCACAAAGCTGCTGGCTTCAACTCAAAAAATTCTATCATTGTTTTTCTGCCTTTAAAAACTGGTGGAACTCATTTGGAGAGAGACACCAGAAGATGGAAACAGAGGCCTGTGTATTCTTTTTGATTGTTTTCTTGCTGACAATTTTATTGCCATCATTTTCTGTGTTGCTGATAGTTTTTAGGCTGCTGGTCTCACTTTAACTATTTATTGAAAAAGAAGGTTGGAAGGATTTTTAATATACTTTTCCTAGTTCCTTAATGATTGGGGGTGGGGAGGAAGAACTGCAGAAATCATAAAATACAGAAATTCACTTGTGCAGGTATTAATTAGATAAAAAGTACTTTAGTTATGATTACAAGATTGAATGAAATAAAATCAGTAAGTTCATATCTTATACTTAGCAAGACATGGACCCTGCTTTTCACATGCCATTTCATTAAATATCTATTTTAAAATGTGAAATAAGTTTACCTTGTCCTAGATTTGAAGGTTGTGACATTAGTTCATCTCTTTAAATTGCACAGGACAAAATAACTTTTCAATCTCAATACCCACCATCTGAACTTTAAGTCTCCTTCAAAATATGAGAACATTAAGGTCCTCACCACAGTAAAATAAGGCCTTATTCTGTAGTCTATTTGCCACTGGATTACCACAAACTCAGGGATCAACTGAATAGTTTGGGTCACTTAAAAATGTCACTGACCTTATGTCCAAGAAGTCCATCTTTTTGTAAGTGATGTCATTCTAAAGTAAGAAAACATCTTAAAAATGAATGCTTCAGAACTTAATTTGCACAAATGAATATTATTCCTTTCCAAGTAGCTATCCTGGAAAACAAAGCCCTAGTAATTCCACTGCTGAAAATATTTTGAGAATTGTCTTTAATCCATTTAAGTGCTAATAAGAAAACTGGCCTCATTGTTTACTGTTTTTGGTCATTCTTTTTTGACTAAATAGCATAAACCGTCTTCCGTCTTTCACTTATTCCCCAGACTTGGTACTAATTTTTCTTTTTTTTTGGTGGGGTGCGGGGAAGGGAGGGGGATTGTTTCCAAAAGTTAAACATCAAAGGACAAAGATTTGTTGACCTCAGAGATATTAAAAAGAATGTGCTAATAGGCTTTTGGGTTTCCCCTACGGCTCAGCCAGTGAAGAATCCGCCTGCAATGCAGGAGATACAGGAGACGTGGGTTGGATCCCTGGGTGGGGAAGATCCCCTTGGAGGAAGAAATGGCAACCCACTCCAGTATTCTTATCTGGAAAATCCCATGAACAGAGGAGCTTGATGGGCTACAGTCCACAGCGTCACAGAGAGTCCGACACGACTGAAGCGACTAAGCTCAACAGGCTTTTAGGACAATTCCAGAAACGGAATTCCAAAAATACGGTTTAGGCCATGTCAGCAGAATTTGGAATGCTGTACGGTTTCTCCAGGTGGGTGCCTTTGGGGAGTGAGGGGGCACCATTCACCTTTCCTTTGGCCTGCCTCTGTGGCCTAGCCTTGGCCCTGTCAGTGGCTGGCTTACGACCTTGGGCAAGTGGCTTTCGCCTCATCTGGAAAATAATGAGAAGTACCAGATGCTCTCCCGCAAATGGTCTTCCTGGCTCTCACATTCCAAGATGATGATACACAGCTCTCCAGACTTGGATGAAGTCACTTTAAGGCCACACCTTTAATGTATTAAGTCATTTCAGTGAATTGAGGCTGGTTCTTCCATTGTGTCTTTTCTGCTCCTGTTCCCCTATATTAACATTTAGTGCCATTTGGGGGCAAGAATGGGACTTCCCAGGTGGCGCTACTGGTAAAGAACCCATCTGCCAATGCAGGGGACGTAAGAGATGCGGGATCAATCTCTGAGTAGGGAAGATTCCCCTGGAGAAGGAAAGGGCAAGCCACTCCAGTATTCTTGCCTGGAGAATCCCCATGGGCAGAAGAGCCTGGCAAGCTACAGTCCATGGGGTTGCACAGTCAGATACAACTGAAGTGACTCAGCACACACACACACATGGGGACAAGAGCAAAGTGTTTACTCAATTGTATTTGGGGTTTTGTAGACATTAAATTTTTTTTATAGCAGATCAGAGACTATATCTACCTTGTGTGTGTGTGTGTGTGTGTTGGTGGGGAGATTGAAAGAGAATATGCACAGAACAACATAATTTTGAGTTGTTTTGGAAGCTACTCTTTTCTTTTTATAGGGTACTGATATTCTCAAACCAGATTTCTATGTCATAGGAACTTATGTCTTCCAAAAAATCTACCAGCATCCCTGATGCTCATGATGACATTCATCTCATGTCACAGCAGAACCGATCTAATCAACTATATATATTTTTAAAGCTTGGACCTTCCCTTTTTTGCTGGTATTTCGGGAGAGGGTTGCTTACCTTCTAGGTAAAATGACTGTGAAAAAATATTTCCCGTGAAATGCTGCCAATTGCAGGTATTCAGCCCACATGTCTGGTTCTATTTAGTGCCCCCCCACCCCCCTTTCTTTTTTTAGTATCCTTGGCCTTACAGCCTGGTCTTTTTCATAAGAAATGTCAGCAAAGTCTTTGAATCAATGAACTGTGAAGTGCTCAAAAAAAAAAAAAAAAAAAAACCATTTCAAAAAGTATCCTGCAAGGTTCTAACACTAATGGGAGGTGATCGATCCTTCAGTTACAACCAAATATCCCATGCTAACTAAAAAGAATTAAGGGAAGGAAGGGCTTGAGCACAGTCTCTTTGAACAAAGACTCAGAGAGGAAGGAGAAGTGATGGGGAGTGGGGGAGGTCAGAATCAGAGTAGCAATCTGGGGAAATGTGTTTATGTTAGAGTCTCTTTAGCTCTGGTGAGCAAATAATGGAATTATACAACCCCCCCCCCCCCCCATAAAAGAGACCAGGTGGAGGGGAGCAAGGGAGGTATGTTTATAAGGTTGATCAAATAAACCTTAATGGTAGGTCCCTGGCTACACCTAACATAGGTTTTGTTTTCTTTTAATTTTGCTATTTAAAAAAAAAAATGCGGTGTAACTCCTTCAATCTTTTTGCAATTCTGCATGGTTGAACATTTGAAATGAGTTTGTGTATCACCCCCAGGCGCTGATTCAGACTTGATTGGGGCAAAGCACACTGCATGTGCTTATTTTTATCCACGTCATTTGGGACGTTTTGTCGCCAAAGGAACCAAAAATGCGCTGCTCCATTGCCAAATTATCACCTATCCTTTGATCAGACAGGGCGGTGATCGTCATCAACAAGTTGCGCGACCTTAGTGTAACAGCAGTGTCAGGTCAACTTGAGAAAGTGGAGAGCCCTAAACACAAATAAAAAGAAACAAGCAACAATCCTTATAATTATCATCATCTGCTGCTTTTCCCTCTTTTGGCAAAGAAACACTCCATCCATTTGCAGAAATCGCCCGCGGAAACGTTACATCAAAACTAATCACAACGATTAAAATCAGCTTTTCTGTGCAAGAGGAGGGTAAAAAGCAAGTTGGAGGCTGGAATAAGACTGTTTTTCCACCAAAAAAAAAAAATCTGGAAAAAAATTTTCCTATATGTATATTTTTCTATATGTCTATGTAGAGCTTTATTTTTTGAAGGAGATCAATTGTCTGCCCTGTGATCAGTTAATTTGATTTAAGTTTTATTTTGGAGATTGATTTAGACTGGAGGTAGAGGCATGAGCTAATTGTATCCTGATCCTTGCCTTGAGGGGTTTCAAAGCCCTGGAGCAACTCTTCTCTGTATTTTGTTCTGTCTACCTTAGCCAAGCTATTGCATTTCTCTCTGGTGTGGCGAGCCGAGCAGATCGCTGGGAGAGAAATCGGAAAAGGGGGGAGAGGAAAAGGAAAAGGGGACTTGGAGAGAGACTTTGTGCTTCAATGTTTCAGGTAAGATCTGACGGTTTGGGTTTGTTATTATTTGCTAAGGAGGGTATGGCTGGGACTTTGGGCGCAACTCGCTTTTACGCATGTGCCAGGCATGGGGCGAGAGCGCGGCACACTCGCACACACACAGCCCGCCGCGGCGGCTCGGGAGCCGCTCGGACCGGCTGCGGGGCAGCGGCCGCCCCCTCCTCCGGGGCTGCTCTCGCCGCTCCTCGGCGTGCCTCCCCGAGAGGGAGCAGAGCAGGGCGGAGCGGGCGCGGCCGCGGGGGCCGGGGCGGCCGGGGGCCGGCGCGCCAGGGCCGGGCTTCCGGATCTGGGGGCCCGGTTCCGGCTCTTGGAGCGGAGCGGCCGCGGCTCTCGGAGCCGGTGCCAGCGCAGCCCGCCGGCCCGCCCGCCCGCCGGCCGCTCGCGCGCCAGCTTCCCCGGCGGCCGCTCGGCCGCCGCGCTGCCCCCGCCCTCCTTCCCCCGCCCTCCTCGGCGAACCGCGCGCGTCCCTTTCTTCCCGGGCCCCGAGCTCCGCGAACCGGCCTCGCCGAGAGCCTCCCAGCGCCGCGGGCCCCCACTCGCCGCCACCGCCGCCGCCAGCAGGAGCGCCCTCGGCCGAGAGAACGGCGCCGCGGGGCGCGCGGGGGCGACGGCGCCCGGGGCTCCGCTCCCGCCTGGAGGGGAGGGGAGTACCGCCGCCCCCTCTGCCCGCAGCAGCCTCGGCGGCGCCCCCAGGACACCCCGCCAAAGACGCCATTGTGGCGGCCGAGCAGAGAGGGCCCCGGGGCGGTTTTTCTCCTTCCCCTCCCCGGTGCCCGGGCCGGACCGCCCCGCTCCCCTTTGTGAGCGGCGCCCGGTGCCCAGCTCTGTCCGCCGTCCGTCTCGGGCCGGGCTGATCCGGATCCGCCGCCTCCGCCCACCCGGGTGCCTTTAAAGCCCCCTCCCACCACCACCACCCCCTCCCTTTTCCAGCCCCCCCCCCCAGCCTCCTCACCTCCCCCCACCCCGCGCTTTGGATGCAAACGTTTCATTTATTTTTAAAAAGCTCTCATTCCTCTTCCTCCCCACCGCCTCCCCTGATAAAGAGCACGGCACGTGCTCCGGATTAGAAGTCTCCCCGGGAGGCGGGAGGCGGGGACCGGGGAGGGGGCGCCGGGTGGGGGAAGGACGGGAGCGCGGCAGGTAATGGCTGGGGCTCTGCGGCGCCCGCTGCGACCCTCGGTGCCTGCGGTCGAAGCCCCGCATCCTTCCCTCCCCTGCTGGCGGCCCGGGCGCCCTTAAAGGGACAAGGTTTCCCGGCCGCCTCCGCCGTCTGAACCGGCGCTGGGGGCCCCGAGGTGGGGGGCGGGGGGAGGGATGCAGTTTGGCTCCTTTTTGACCTCTTTCCACTTCTCCCCCCGCCCCCTCACCGCCGCCCCTCTTTATGGAAATACGACGTGTGCTTCCTCTCCCGCCCCGCAGAGGGACTGGGCTGGAAAATAAGAGTCCGCGCCTCCTGGAGAAAAAAAGAGCCAGGGTGGGGGGCGCATCCTGGTGAATTCGCGTGAAAAGTGAGGTTGGACTCGAGAACATCCAGGAAGGGGAGACGGGAGCCGCGGTGCAGGAATCCCTTACCTGGACGCCGGCTGCGCGCCGCCGCCCCGGAGTACCGCAACTTGCTAGCTAGCGCGCGGGTCGGCCGTGTGTTTGTCTTTGTGATTTCGAACCCTTGCACCGCCTTGGAAACTGAGTTTCTGGCATCAACATGCTTTCACCTGACGGTGCTGCAGGGGCCAGCTGGGCGGGAGCCGACTAAGTTAGCAAAGTTGAATGTCGGCTTTGTGCGTGGAGAGAGGCACGCGGGAACGACCCGCTGTCCCCGCGCCACCGGCTTCCTCGCTAAGAGGTGCACCGCAGTGGGCAGAAGTAATTTGGTACAAATGCTGCGTACCTCTCTGATCGTAGAACTGGCTGCTTTCAAGCAAATCCTTGATGGATGTTTGTGTGTTCCTGTGTGTGTGTGTGTGTGTGTGTGTGTGTGTCCCCGTGGTGGAGCTGGGGGAGACTTAACAGTTTAACATACTCATTCTTTAAGAAACGTTTGCCTTCTGTTTTCAATCAGCGAAGCTGGCAGCTAGAGATACAAGTTTATTTGAGAATACCCTCTGGGTACCAAGCATGCTTGGATTGTTTTAGCAAATTAAAAATGAGCAAAATGCTTTTACCTTCTCAGCAGTAGACTCCTTAAGAGACCTCCTGTTTTGTGTGTGTGTTTTAGAGAAACATTTTCTGTGTGTCTCACAAATGTGTTTTTAATGTGGAAAACGGGGGGAATAAAAGTTTGAAAGGCTGAGGCTGATGCCATCGAATGATGCATTGAATCTGCTTTTACATCAAGGAATTTACCTGCTTAGATGGGAATCCGTGGAAACTAATCGCTAATCTACTTGGTGAATTTGAAATAGAAGTGGGTCCATTTGTCTCCCGGATAATGGGCAATGTGCCGATCTCTTCCTCGTGTTTATATTTGTGTGGCAGTTGGCTTACCATGAGGGGCTGGTGTTCAGAAGACTGCCCACTGACTACAACAATTTGGCTCAGGAGTCCTGCTGCTGCTCATTGGAAAGAATTGTTAGCAATTGTTTCAATGACAGTAGGTTTCGTGTTTACTAATTAGGTTGCAAAGGTGATCATTGAATTTTAAAACTTTGCATCCCAGAGAAAACTTCACAGGTTTAGGCAATGTGTTTATGAAAAGAAAGCCACTCATTAGACAAAAATGTCATACATTGGCTGGGAAGAAATTTTGAAATGAATCGAGCATGAATGAGAGTTGGCAAAAAATCTCCCACCACAGTATTCAAAATGACTGCAGTGATTTTGCTGTATTAATTATGCCTGAAGCCCAATATAAAGTTCTCCAACACACACTAGAGGTCTCTCTTCTAGCTGTAAGATTTTCGTGTTTGTAATTCTTTGCCAGGGCGTGCATCCTGGAGTGGGAAATGACAGCTTGGTTCAGACTTATTTAGTAATAGCGATTTACTGGCCATTTATATTACTCTGATGTGAAGTATTTATTTTGGAGAATATTCAGTAATTATTGTACAGATTATGCTACCTAACTACTAAGAAAAACTGTAAAAGACTTCTACTACATGATGATGAAAACAGATTATTCAATTTGTTGAATAGCATTATGGACCTTTTGGCAGACAATTATTTATCCAGAGCAATTTGGTTTTAAAATGTAAAAGTAATTAATGAAAGATGTATAATATCAGAGAACTTTCTGAAAATTAAACTTTGATTTATGTCTAAGTTCAGCACTAAAGTTGATTGCATAAATGCTTTCTTGTCTTGCTGTTTCTAAAATCAGAATGATTATTTTCTAATCCTGAAATGTGATGTTTTCTGCTAAGATATTTTCCCATTTACATTGCTTTTGAGTCATTCAAAGGATGTTTGTGAATTGTCAGTTCACCAGAGCTTTTATTTAGTTGGATCTGAAACTGCATTTCTGAACTTTCCTTGGGAGTGCAGTTTGTAATTTCCCAAACAAGTGAAACTTTTATTTTCTTTATCTTTAGGATAAACCATCTTGGGGGAGAAAAGGAAATTTTTGGATGAAAGCATATATGCTTATTTTAATAGCTCGTGCAGAAGTGAGAAAAATGTTTTAAAAAATTAATACAGAAGTGTGAAATACTTCAGTTTTTCTAGGCACTGAATAGTGCTCTGGTTTTTCTTAGAAACATCCTAAATGTTAATTGCATTTTACTTGATTTTTGTTTGAGATCATTCACTGCAAAGAATGAAACAGAGATTATCCTTTAAGAACAACAAGCCAGGATTCATTCATTAAGTTCATTCATTCAACAAATATTTATTTGTGGTTTCTGTACCCTGTGCTAGATGTACCCTGTGCTAGATGCCAGAGACATGATGGTGAGAAAAATTATGCAGAGTCTCCAGTCCCCTGGAATTTGTGATTCAGATAGACAGATGCTAATCAAACAGTTGGACAATGGACAGAGAATAGTGCTTTTGAAGGAAAAGAAACTAACCAAAAGGGCAAAGTGGCGAAGACTGGGTTTTGGAGGAAGTGTTACAAACTGAGATCTAAGCAAGTAATGAAGAGACAGGAGAAGCAAAGTGAGAATAGGAAATAAGTTCCAGGCAGAGGGAAGAGGGAATGGCATTTGCCAAGCAGGGAACGGCATGGCCAAGGGAGAGGAATTCAAGGATGCACGAGCTGGAGCTGAGAGAGGGAGGAGGCAATGATGAGAGAGCAGGTTGTGGGGACAGGCCTCTAGTCTTAACTCTAAGAGCAGAGTGAAGGGGCTTGGCCCAGAGGATTGGGAGGAGGGCAGCAGTAACATAATCAGGTTCGTGTTTTGCAAGGATAATTCTGATGTCACTGTGGGCAGTGAATAGAGGAGCCCGGAGTAGATGAAGTAGAACCCTGGGAAGGCTATTAAAGTCATCCAAGCAGGAGAAGATGCAGCTGGGGTTAGGGAAGTGGCAGGGGACACAGAAGGATGGAAGATCTAGTCACATGGTGGAATTGACAGAATGTAGTAAAGGATTGGTGTTGGGTAATCAAGGACAGAAAGGGATGTCAAGTGGATGCCTAGGTTTCAGACACTGAGTGGACACTGGGATTCTGAAGACTGTAGATTTTGTGCTTTTCACTTCATTTGTAGTAGCCAGAATGAGGAGCAATGACAAGCCTCATTCACGTCCTGTGTAAGTGAATTCACACAGAAATTTGTTCCCCAATCTCACGGAGTACCTCGTGTGTCAGGCACTGATCCCTCTGCCCTTGTCTTTTATCCAAGATGTCTTTTCCTTTATAAACTGCACTTCGAAGTTTCTTTCCTCCAACTCCAGTTGGAATTCGTCATTTGAATAGGCCTGTGTTTAACCTTCTGAAACAAAAATCAAGTCTGTGCCTTATAGTACAAATTAATTGTGCTTAAAAATATCATGAACTTGAATTAAATGACTATAAAAATGAGCTGCTCGATCATGCTTTCTAAAAGGCCATTTACATACAAATAACTGGCACAATTCCTGTGAATCACTCATTGAAAAAAAATTTTAAAGACCTTATTAACATGGTAAAATTTGTTTGGTCTGATTTAAGTTTACTCAGCTCTGCTTTCTCCCAGTTCGATTCTAGTATGTTTGACTTCCCTGTGTCTCTGACTTGTTGTACTGATCCTTGGCTAATCTTGTTTCAATGCAACATTTTCATACTTTTCTTAAGTGAACACTGATTTTGGCATTTCTAATATCCTATCCATCCTTTCCATTTGTTCTTACTTCTCTAAAATTCCCTCACATCTGGCTTCGCAAGCATGCATAACAACAGGGAACAGGTCTTTGGGTGGTTATTCAACACTAAAAGAGTTGATGAACAATTAATTTTAAAATAATCTAAAATGAGGCATTCAGTTTTTCTTTCAACATCAAAACTTATTAGAGAATTTCAGGGGGAAAAAAGTCTGCCATGAATGTTTTATAATCGTTTTTCCCCTTTCTGGCTGTCCTCCTTCTAGGCAAGTCCAGGTAGAAACTCCTTCCAAGAGATTTGGTACTTAGTAATTTCCAGGAAACAATTTGAATTAATCACTCTGTTCATTGGGGCCTGAGATACATCTGCAGTTCCATAAGATACTTTTCTTGGTGGTTATCTATCGTGTGGGTGGCTTGGAGGGTGGGCTCTGGTTGGAAACACATCGTCATTTTAGCCAAGTCACCTGGGGATCCGTTTCTTCTGTGTACACAGGAATGATTAATACTTCGCCAACCTGCCGTATAGGATTGTTTTCCGAGAGGAAAAATGAGTATGTATGGTGGGATTTCCCTGGTGGTCCAACGGCTAAGACTTCATGCTCCCAATGCAGGGTACCCATGTTCGATTCTTGGTTGGGGAACAGAATCCCATAT